TGCATGTGTGAGGACTGAGAAGTGATTAGGGTTAGAAGACTTTCCCTTTTATATGAGTGGTTCGGACCTGTGGCAGTCTACATACCGTTTGACGCTTGGACCGATACGTATTGCACGTTTCATACTGGTCTGGGTGAGACATCATTCCTTGTTACAAATATGAATCTCATTTAGTTACAAAAGTAGTAAACAAATTTCCTTTTTCTCGCTACTCAAGCCCAAAATTTTGGGCTGAAACTGTGATGAGGAGATTTAAAAGAAAACAAAATGGAAGTTAGTTTCTTCCCATAAAAATATCTTTTGCTCTCTATTTCCTTGAGATATATACAAAAAGTAATCTTTGAAGAAGCCAAGAAACTCAGGACCTTGAATCTGATAATTAATAATCATGACAGACAACATTGAACCAGTCTCCTTTCATCTCTTTTGTTCCTCTTCTACAACATTTTTTTTTATAATTTCCTCTATCCTGATGCTTATTGTTTGTTTTCTTGGTTTTGGAAAAAGAAAAGGTTTGATATATACTGTTTGACAAGGCAGAGAGGTTGTAGTTCCATGCTACATCCCCTCAGTTTAAGTCCATACTGATGCTAAAATAAAGGAGCATCATTAGCTTCAATACAATGCAGTTATGACCAGAATATTACCAATATTAAATGTATAGTGAAACCCTATGAAATGAATTACTCTACCTGCATTTCGCTTGAGTTCCATTCTACTAGTGGCTCATAAGTCTCAAATCTGTGCTATGGTGAGGGCTAACTTGTTCATCAATACTTGTGACCAAGCCAGCTTGAGCTTAGCCAAAGCCTAAACCTCTATTTATTGGATAACAAAAGGCTGGTTATTATGTATGCTAATTATTTGGGGTAACTATTCATGGATTGCCCTATGTGTGAACTTATGTTTATACCAGGCTTAAAACTTTACGACATTAAATCATCATTAACCCCTTTAAGACCTTAAAATTCTTCTTTTTCTTTTTTTGGTCTTTGAAATTGATGCTTATAATAGTTCTCATACAGTCATACTATTCATTAGCTAGGGATTAGCTCCAATATTTTTCTTGTTTCTTATCCCTTTTTTCTTTTCCCCTTTTTTCATTGTTTTTCTTATGGTGGTTGCACCTGTTTACCTTAAGGAAGTTTGTGATGCGACAGAAGTGATATAACTTCACTAAAGGTAAGATGAAGAGAAAAAAGGTTGGGGCCTAATTCAGACTTATGGTGCTTTAGTCAAATTCATGTCTTATGTTTAGTGCTTGATTGCTTTCGACATTTAACTTGGTACGTGTGGTATGTACCAAGGTTTCCATATCGCAAAATATCACTTGGTACGTGTGGTATGTACTAGTCCAATAGGAGACCGATTTGGGTGGTACATACTGGTACATCGGTATGATCCATCATATCATATGTTGGTACATTGGCATGGCTCAGTACATACCATACAAACAATTGGTCGGTACACTGGTACGGACCACTAAGGCGAACCATGGTAGAGTATATGTTTGTATATCACTAATTACATCCTCATGGTTGTCTTGAATCTCTTGATAATACCCATGGTTAAGTAGGCAAAAACATGGGATTTAAATATGTTGGTTTATACTTGCAGATCAACTTATATGTACTGGTCCAAGAGGGTACTGCTATGCTAGCATAGGAACTATTATGATAAGTCATGACATCTCTTATATTGTTCTAAAATATTTTTTTCAGTATCAAATTCCAGGGTGTAATTTTACCAGTATTTTGGTAATTTTATCATTGGACAAAAGGGCTGATATGCACTAGAGATTGGGATTTAAAGTTTAATAAGTAAATAAAAAATGAAAAATTGGATGCTGATTTCAAAGATTTTAGGGATTAAAATATGATAAACATGTCTTGTATCCGTTTTTTTGTCCATGTAGACCAAGTCTACATTGTGTTCCCTTTGACCTCATGGAGTTAGACACAATCATTTCATTGGTACTTCACTTCAGCACTTCCTCGCTCCTTGCTTGTGGCATATCCTCTCTGCCTGGTGAGTTCATGTATATCACATCTAGTATGCATCCTGGTGTTTTATGTGTTATTTTTTCTGTGGATATTAGTCCATACTATTTTTTCATTGATAGAAGAATGTCTGAACTCATCGAATTCACACTTTTATGCCAAAATAATCATCTGAACTTAATTGTCTGGTTGGCTTTTCTTTGCGTATTAGTTTCAATGTAGATGTTAGCTTCCTACTTGGAAAAAGCTGTCATTGCTTTGGAAAGTACATGTTAAAAAGGACTTGAAAATGTAACTTATATCAACAAGTCATTTGAGTATGTTGATCCATGTTGCTTGTATTTATTTATCATAATTGCCTCCGTGTCTCTATCTGTGTTGGATCCTTGTTGAGAAATCAGTAACAATGTTTCACTCCAGACTATTTTTTCGTTAATGAAAGAATGCCTGAACTTGTATGGAATTCACACTCAAATGCCAAAATAATATCTGAACTTAGTTGTCTGGTTCGTTTTCCTTTTAGCTTCACTTTAGATGATAAATTGCTACTTGGAAAAAGCTGTGTCATCATATTGGAGAGTACATGTAAAGTAAGACTTGAAAATGTAACTGAAGGATTGTGTTTAATAGGTCACTTGAGTATGTTTATCAATGTTACTTATATTTGTTTGTCGTAATTGCCTCTGTATTGTCGTGCATGTTGGATCCATGTTGACATACTAGAAACATTGTTTACTAGCTTACTAAAGTTAATGCAGATTTCCCTATGTAAATCTGATACTTGGACCTTTTAGTCACTAAAGTTAATACTTGTTTATTTTTATAAAAAACCTTGATATTTGCTGAAACACACTAGTTTGGGTCTGGTATTTGAACTTTCTCCTTCAACTATTCCAATCTCAAGTTTACAACGGTAGATTTTTTAAGTTCTGAACATGCTGCAATCTCTTATGTTGACTTTTGTTATGGATCCTAGATCTTTTGATAACAGTACGGCAGATAAGTATTCTGATACTTGGACCTTTTAGTCACTAAAGTTGGTACTTGCTTTTTTTCCAAAAGAAAAACTTGATACTTGATAATTAACACTATTTTCGTTCTCTTTGAATCAAACTTTCTGCCTCAACTATTTGGATCTTAGGATTACAAGGTCTTCACTCACTCTATATTATCTTTTTATCACCATATATAACTAGGTTTTATTTGATGGTTAAGTAGGTGATTATCCCAAATAGAAATGTATACAAATTAAGTTGATGATTTTGATATTTACTATGAAGCTGCTGGTATTAATCTTTTATATCCATAATTGTAAAATGATGTATCATTGTTCAATAACTGCATGCCTTATTTATTGTAGTTGATTAAGTTGTCTTTGAAGGAGTAACATACTGTCATGGATTTAGTTGGAATTGCCTGAGTCGTGAAGCACCCATGCATTATCCGTTCGTAAAGGGTCAACCTAGTTGCAACTTTGCTTAAGTCTCGATGGACCTGTAAATGAGCAAATTGATTAGTTCGAAAATGAGTGGCGAACAAGTCCCGATATCTCGCGAAGAGGGTAGCTTTACAAGCAATTCAGTAAGGACTTCGTGTGTAAGAGAGAAAAGAGAGGAAGGAAAAAACAAGGACTTTAGAAGGTAAATGAATAGTCGCAAGTTCGCAAACAAGGACTTTAGAAAATAAGCACTTCCTCCTCCTTCCTCTTCCTCCCTCCTTTAACTCTATCACCTCCTCTTCTTCCTTGGTCTTTCTCTTCCTCCCTCCTCTTACTCATGTACTTCCTCCTTTTTCTTCCTTCGTCCTCATCTTCCTCCACCGACATATGTTCCTTCTTCTCCTCCTTTATCTTTGAGTCTTCGGTACTTGCACTGATGTTAATTGATACGTACTGGTCCGGCCAGGGACCATTACACCTAGTTGGTACGAGACAATGAATGCTTTTTGGGAATCTGTAGGCACTCAGTGAATATTGATCATGTCCTCCAAGTTTGAGTGTATACTCAATTCTACCATGATAGATCATTATGATATATCCATTTGTAGTTTTGTACAATTATTTCTGTGAATGCTTAAAAAAAAATCAAATAATAATAAAAACATTAACATGAACGAACAACAAATAATAAAGGCCTCATGAAGGTTTTGTTCTTTAAGCTGTTCAAAATAACTAAATAATCTTTGTAATCTATTATTATTTTATTTATCAGAAAAAAAATATGTAACTGTTGTTTGATTGTTGCAGGCAGGAGTCCTGCTTGACAGGAGGGTTATGCAATACATTGTTCCTGTTTTCTGCTTTGTTTTACTTTACTCAAAACTTCCACACAAGGTAAATACAGCTGAAATCTAGTTGACCTTTTTGAATCCTTATTGCGCTAATGATGAGATATATTGTTGCTTCTTCTGATATTACAGGAGCTTCGTTTTATAATTGGTTCCATTCCTATGTTCAATGTATCTGCAGCAATTACAGCAAGCAGACTGTAAGATAAACATAGCTTTCTCATATGTTTTTGTGCTGAAGTTGATTGTATACTATTTGGAAGTTATCTTCATGTTATGAATATGCATAATGTCAGTTCTTGAATTTCTTGGGGGTATCTGGAACAATACTATACTATGGTATGATTACTATGTTCTGAGACATTTATAGTCCTCACTGTTTTAAGATCAACTTTATGCTTCTCTAAATTTGTTACTTATTTTCTCTCTATAAAAAGAACCAGAACCTTATGATTTCTACACATGCTTACTATATCAGAGGATTAAAAAATCTCCGTTCAATATTGATGCCAGTCAGTGGTTGGACTAGTATGGTGCTAGTGCTCTACAGTGTACCGAGTGTTTGTATAGGTCAGCACTGGTAGGTACCAGCTACACCCTGCAAGAAGAGAAAGAAAAAGATGAGGGAGGGAGCAATAGACATGCAGTGAAGGAGGACAAGCGGTGACAATGGCTTTGGATAGGAGACGAAGGCAATGTTGTTGGGGTACCACAAGTACAAATACTGTGCAGTAGGCTTTCCGCACAATCAGAGGGATGGTCGGTTCAAATAGGTTATGTAGTCTTATCACCCGATAAACCTCGATGCTTCTAGGCAGTATGCTTGACTTCGGATTGGATCAGGCAGAATTATGAAGTGAAGGAGGACGAGAAGTGACAAAGGGTTTAGAGAGAAGGCGACAGTAATGTTGTCGGGAGGAACAGTGCAGCAGAAGAGAAAGTAGAAAAGAAGAAGAGAAGAAAAGAAAGAAAAGGATTAGGGTATGTCATGGAGTAATGCAACCAAAGTGTTTGACGCATGTTTGGGATGCTTGATATTGTTTTTCCATTATTTTTCGGTGTTTCTGGGTGTTTTCTCGTGGGTAGATTGTATGGGATAGGAAGTACTATTGTCAACCTTATGTTAGCTTGTATGGGTGTTTTCTCGTGGGTAGCTTGATATTGTTTTATGTTTTATGTCAGGCTACAAACTTGGAAGTTGGAAACATCTTTGGCTGTTCGCCTTCATGTGGAAAAAAAACACCAAAATAACGTTATCGTGTGCCATAGGCTGATTTCTGGTTGACGGTGTTGCAGAACAAAACATCAGTTGTCCGAGCACTTGGAACCTTAGGTGACATGGGTTGGATGGTACATTGGTTTATCTGTTTGTGGGGTGGTGCAATGTTTTAGTCTGCTTGTTTTTTGTTCGGGGAAAGTCTTGTGTGAACATTGGATCTGTACCTACCTTCGGAACCCCTTTATATATGACTATTCAACATGGTTGTGAGTCTTTTTGCGTCTCATAAAAGTGAGTTGCTTTGTGTTGCTTGCGACCCTGGTTATCTTTTCATGTTTGATGACATATTACTTGTGCAAAGGACTTCACGAGGTTAAGGACATTATCGCTTGGGTGCTGCATGCCTTCGATAATCCCAAGGCATCTACATTGATGACATATTACCCATCTACACTGACCTTGTGGATGAATATCACTTGGGTGCTGCACGCCTTAGATAACCCTAGCTAAGGACATGATAGTATGACATGTACAAATAGCCCAATCAGAGGTATGCTTGGTAATCATACTGTAGGTAGACTTATAGCCAATAAATGCCGATTCTTGTAGGCAGTATGCTTGAATCTGGACTGGACCAAGCAGAATCACTTGGTCTGCATACTGGGTCAGCTGATAGACTGGTTAAAATTAGACCTACCAGCCAATACAGTCGAAATCTGAACACATGCTCATCAGAATCTTAGAAGGTGAGGAGAACAAAATTTAGGAGTGATTTCTCCTCACAAAAGCATCCAAAGAGCCATCAATCCTAATAGGTTTTCTCATAGTTATACTTCAAAATAAAAATTTTATAACTTAGCATGATTGTTGATTGCACCAATCTGTTCCTGCTGTTATTATTTAAGATGACTTTCTGATTGTCACATGTTTGATGTGAATTTTTAGATATATCAATAAGAAGAAGGATGGCTGGAGGTGGCTCTACATAATGTTGCTTGGATCTTTTCTTGTCAGGTTGAATTATTATATCCTCAAAGATAGAGAACTTTGGGAGCACTTCTCTGCTCATGATTTTATTTTTTTTGTTATCACGAAGTTATGTTTTTATTTTTGCTGATGATGTGGTTCTTATAGTCTAGGATGCTCTGTTATGACATTCATTGCATCCTATTACAATTATCCTGGAGCTTATGCTTTGAAGGCTCTGCATCAAGCGGGTAATAATATATTCAATCCATTCCTAGATGTTGTGACTTATTATCTCATTAAGAAGCGTCTAATTGCTTTCAATCGCTGAATGTTCTATTTAAAATCGTTAAAAGCTTCCTAGTTGCCTTTTTTGCTGGGTCACTTATTCACCATGATTGCTATGTATGCTAGGCAAGTTAGCTTTTTTCATGTTCCACGGAAAACGTCAATTTCTTTGTGTCATGTAAGGACAACTTCTAGAATCGTTAACCACATAAATGACTTATCATGTAAAGGCAGTACATATCCTTCCAGCTTATGGTAATTCTTCCATAAAGATATTGAAGTCCTAATCAGTAAGGCTGTGTTAGAAATCCATAATGGAAATGATGGATGAGAGTATACAAACAAAACCGTTTATACAATTGAACTTTTGACAGAGATATAGCTTACTGCACTATCAAGCTGCATACACTGTATATTCTTTTTTTAGTGATAAGAGTGTACTAATTGAAGTCTGTGTTCACAGACACCTCTAATACGACAAAAGAGAAGTTTGTTCACATTGATGCCTTCACAGCGATGAATGGAGTTTCTCGTTTTTGCGAAAATGAATATCCTTGGAGGTTTGTTCTTCTGGCCATCTGAAGTAGTGTTCGTTCATGATCATGTAAAAACATAGGACTCCTAAAATAATTCTTACACATTATTTAAGGTCATTGAATCGATCATTTATTTCTTCATTAAGTAAATCTTATATTCTGCCAGTTCCAATTTAACAATCTAGTTTCTTTTGTTATTTTAAGGGTCCTTTACAAGCTTATATGATGGATTGGCCTGTTTTTATTTTTATAAAGTTTGTGAATAACTGTCTCATAATTCAAGATAAAAATATTGGATTTGTCTTAAGCCAGTCATGTTAAACTTTTCACCTCTTTCGAAAAGTGTACATTGACACAAGAAAGATTGCTTGGCATGCATGTGGGCTTTGCTAGAAATAGGAGGGTGTGCTGTTGCAACTATCCAGCTGCTAGCATATCGTAAGGTCTGTGCATGGTAACGATATAAGAAATCTTAATTATCAAAATGTCTTAAGAAGCAAACAAGTAGATTGGTCAATCGTCTATCCTTAAGATTGAAAGTAGCTTTCCAAAGGTCAAAAGGACAAGCAAACAAAAGCAACTTCTATAACTTTTCTCTTGAACGTTTAATCATAGATGATCAGGGTGATGCAACGAATGGAACTATCACCTGTTTTTTTAAGGTATGTCTACAAATGAATTGATTTTGCATTTATAAAGTTTCCATCAGAATCATTTTGTTTTACCAAGACTAATTCATCAATTAAGAGTTAAGGAATCGATGAGCCTTTAGATGTTTTACTTTTTCCAAGGAAAAGAATAAAGACTATACAACATTATTTTGTCTTGTATCATTGAAATCAATGAGCGTTTCGATGTTTTACCAACTCAGCATATTGGTCTTGGGTCGAACCGGTATGTTCCGATGTGCGCACACATTGAAATTTTGACTGAAAATAGTCAAAATTGAGAAAAAAAAATTCAAGGTTCTTTGCTATATAAATTGATATTATTTACTATATAAATTATAATTAAATAAGAATAAAGTATATCTAAGTAGTATAGAAATTCTAGGCTACAAGGATCGAAAGTTACTTGAAATGATAAGAAAAATGTAGAGAAAAGGTACATACCTTCAACTGAAAACAGATTCCATTGGATCTTGAGTTTTAATTTCCTCCATCCAAATTAACCTCCTAGGGAGATTAAACACATCTAACGAGGGTGAGAAAGTGTGAGAACCAATGTGAGTGAGAGTGAGTGACAGAGGGGGTTGGGAGGTTAAAATCTGATTGGTTGCTGAAATTGTCAATTTTAGCCCAACAGCAGTTAAGATCCAATCGACATTGGTTGGTAACAGTTGAATTTTAACTGTACGGGTAATGGTCAAATTTCGATTATATCAGGAAGTATGTATTGGCATCAGTAAAAATGGATTGGTCTGCATCTCGTACTGTTTCGCATGGTATGACCGTCTATGGTAGGATCATTTTAATTGTTTACTGCTGTGCTTAATGACTTATATTTGTATAAGAAATTATAGGATGGTATCATTAATTTCTAGATACTGAGATAGGTTGCGACTTAGCAAGATAAATAGTATGCTAAGCAACAATACATTCCTTAATGCATTGTCATGATTTCTTGACCTGTGAAAGTATGGGATTACAATATGCCATTCAACTGAGCTTGTCTTCAGGATTGAATATATAAACTGTAGAGTTTGAATTATTAAGGTATAATTGCCTACCTGATGTTGTTTGAACCGGATTTCTCCCATATTTCTCACTCATAATTTGCGACTTCATTTTATGTAACCTCTGCTAGACACTCACTGATTCACTAGCCAAACATTGTTCAAGAATGAAAAATATTATATTGATGGCAACATGTCCTAAAGCATAATGCAGAGGAACCCAAAAAGAAGACCTACAGCGTTGTTCCGAGGTGTCGGTTTAGCAAATCTATTCAGTTTCAAGGAATTATCTTCTGAACAAACTTTGTCCATAATTGATGAGTGTAACATAAATTCAAAATAGTGGAACAATCTATAGGCTGGCAAGAAATACAAGATCTACTTGTTGACCTAATTTGATTGGAATAATATTATTAGTAGCATTATATTAGGTAAGAAATTGCTTAAATTTATCTGGTTTTGTTTTGGATTTAGTTTAATGCACATTATGTTCCTCTAGCATATATTGAAGATGCACTTCGTAAGTTTAAACATCAATGATGGTGGTCATTTATAGCAGTGCTTGGTCACCTAGGTTGTCAAGTAATGATGGTTTTGTTTCTGAAGATGCACACAGATGGATGCTAATTCTGGTGGAGCCGAATAACTGTGTTGTTGCATGGCTGATATCTTCCATTTCATTTTAACAGCATATACCAAGGGTCTCAGTTTGGAAATATTTTTACAAATTATATGTTTCTTGTTTGTCTAGTGAGTAGAACCTGAACTTGATCTTTGACGAGTCGTGATAAAAAAACTAACTACTAGATTTATGAGCCTCTAAGAACGTTAAACTTTTTATAAGTTCATACCGCCTGTTTATATTTTTCGGCTCCATCTGTTGGGAGAAGCTTGTAAACTAATGATGATTGCAAGATTTTACTTTGCTTTTAGATCTTGAAAGCTTTCTCATAACTGAGAAATATGTTTATCTTGATTAGTATTCCTTTGGTTTCTTCATTTGTAACCATAAGAAAATTTTCTTTTCTATTATGCATCTAGATACTCAAAAGAGGAAGGAATTGCCTTGGATGAGTATCATGACAGAAATTTTACATACCTGCTGAAGTGAGTTCTAACTCTGGCTCTTTTGTTTTCATATAAATACTAGATCTTCCATAGTTTATTGTTGCTTGCAGAGTTTTTTTCTTAACTATAAGTAACCTACCTATTGGTATAACTGATCCTAGAATATTCTTGGTCCCTTCAGTTTTCTTTCTTTATTCCTGTGCCTAATTTTACAAGGGCAAAGAAGAAAAAGGCTATTCTGATTCTTGTAATTGTTTCAACTATAATTTTGTCTCCTTTTTTGCCGCAGAAAGGTGGGGTGGGAAGTGATGTTCTAAACATGTTGCATAAATTGGATGCTTAGTCATATTTCACGTGGGGACTACTTGAATTGAAGTATCCTGACATCTGCACCATTCCTTTCTAATGGGTAGTTTAGGTGACTGGAAGTTGAAATAGTGGGACGAATCCTATATATGTCTTTTACTTATTGCATAAATTGTGTGCACCATTGGTTAGATTCACTGGTGGTGCTGTGGTCAAGAACGATAACTTGAATCTTCAAGCACAAATTTTTGGGAAAGTGGCGCTGACTTGTTCTTGACAACTCATCAGTGATGAGTAAGATAGAGGGCTCATATTAAACATCATGTCTATAAATACTCATGATCCTGGCCCAGCATGATCACCTTACTAAATTGGGCATCATCTATGATAGTGTCAATAAATTAGTAATAACATCAGAAGACTTTGATGCTGTGAATCAGCATATGAAACTAATGGTTGGAGTTTTGCAGCCAATGATGCTTGTTATAAGGCATGCTCTAGTTCCATTGGCCCAGTTGAGGATTATATATCTATAGCCTACGATCCACCAAGGTATTTCACAAGTTTAATTAAATAATTTAGGTATTCACCATCCTTCGCTTTGGGTACAATCATTAATAGCAAGGTCAGAACAACAAGAGGCTAGTGCTAATGCTACCAAATCATGCACATTCACTAATAGATAATGGAATTGCCTGACTGTGATGACATTTTGTCCAGAATATTGCATACATGGTAGTTTCCCCATGTGAAAGTGCGAGCACCCGTCCATAAAAAATGGTGGAACTTTATGAGACTTGTATGCTTAATTTTGTTGAGCAGTTTATCTTGTAGCCTGTGGTAGTCGAACATTGTGGTGAACAACTTCAGCGTTTGCTCAAGTAGGATGGGAAATTAGTGCACCAATATGACAGTGTCTGTTACATCACCTACTTGTAACTGACTTGATGTTAGCAATCTTATTGCTTCTGTGAGACCTGGCTAGAAAGAAATTATGTCCCGTTATATAGTTATTTTCAAATGTTGTGTTTATTTTCACTCATGATTCGTGTATAGTGATTGGAAAATGATAAGTAGAACATTTAAACATGATCCCCAAGTTGCCAAAAATTAGAAAATGTCTTGATGGCCTAGTCTATTTATTAGATTATCCAGAAGGATGATTAATAAGAAGTTAAGAACTACACATTTGTTTTCTCAATGTGACTTGCTGAACTTAAGATGGCCTTTGAACAGTTTGATTTCTGGTATCCAAATTATTTGGATGCTTGGCATCATTTTAATTTTTTGGGTCACCATTTCTCCAAGTCCCATCATATAAATATTTCATCAATTGGATGCAGCAGGTAACCTAGTTGATGCTACCCTGTAAGCCAGACTCATAAAGGGCAGAGTAAAAGTGATTGGGGGAAGTTTAATTTCCACCAAGGTTCGCAATACCGTACCGTACCGGAGTTTCGACCTGGGCTCGGTACCGGTACGGTACGGTATACCGCTCGGTACACCCAGGTGTACCGAGCGGTATATTCAGGCGTGCCGAGCACTGTAGCAGTACTGCTACAGTGTCGGAACGGTAACCTATGGTCCGCGTATCGAAAGTCTGTCGGACCGGTACGTACCGCCCGTACCGGGCGGTACGGACCGGTACTGCAAACCATGATTTCCACATAAATATATGTTTGTATGTTAGTCTTTTGTTGTATACCAACTCACTCTTTTTTTCCTGGAAGGAATAAGTTCTTTTTTCCTTTTTTTACTTCATTTTAACATTCTGTAGTAGATTTATTTTGTTTCTCTTTCTTCAGTGAGCATTTTCACATTGATGGGTACAAGTGCTTGTTTGCGGTAAATGGATTCTCTGGAGCCCGTCTTCAGGTTGGCTTTCCACCATTTCTCTTGGTAAGAATTTCCATTATTTGGTGTCTTCTGGAGAGTAGTACTTTATAAAAGATATGACTTGTGTTCTAACTTGATTGTTGAATTTGACATTGGACTATGGTAGTTCCTGTTCAGTCTCAGTTGCAGCTGTCTGATTTAAACTGATAATTCTCATGATTGCAGTTAAAGGAGCCAAAAGTATTTGTTCATGGAAACATGAGAGATGGGGATATTGACCATTTTAGTTGGCCAGGTTGCCCATGATATCACCTGCAGAAGTGTATCCACTGGAGCAGGCATAATCATGTATCTTCACCTAAAAGGGTATGAGCACGAGGCATTATTAGAGAACGCCTTTGCTTTGATAGTATCTGCACTTCGAGGCATTGGAAATTTTGGATGATTAATATACTTTGGCCAATTGCAAATTCAAAATTGTGCATCTGAGATTTTTGTATCAATTTACATTGTAGAATAGTTTGATCATTGTTTTAAGATGGCCATAGCATATATCCATGGGGTGGCTGAATGCCAGATGAGACTGAACCAAAAGGTAGCTTTGGATGGCTTTGGTTATTTGTGTCCTTTCAAAAACCATCTGGGTTTATTATGAATGTATATTATTGTTTACGTCCGCCTGTTTGGATTGTCGGTGACAGACTAATTAAATTACAACATCCCAAATGCTCCAACAAGATAGACTACTTCACCGATCAATTATTTTAACTTACCACTGACAAATTGATGATGAATCAACGACATTCGTTACCAGTGTCAACGCAACAAGAAAGTTACATAGGGGGCTTGAATACTCGATGATATACCTCTGATGAATGACAACCTTCGAGCAGAACAAAAGGAAGAAGAAGAAGAAGAAGTAGTAGTTTAGGATTGATTATGTTGACTATATATGAAATCTGAAACCTTCAGTGTCCATTAATGAGCTATCAAGGTCTCGAAGCAGTGCAGGCCATCCAACTCCACTGCAAATCGGGCTGCCCTTCCACTGGCCTCCGAACTCTTCCTCGCCTTTCCTTCCTCTTCTTCTTCCTCCTCTCTCCTCTTCTTCATGCTCTCTGTTTCTTGCTGCACTCCTCCCTCCTCCTGCTGCACACACACGGAAGAATTGCTTATCCTGCACTGTCTTGGCATTCACTAAGAACAAAAGCAAACACTGGAACAGCTACGAGTGTCGATCCAAGGCGAGCTCACCTTGTTGTTGCGGAAGCCAAAATAACTGAGAGCCATTGCTGGGACTGAGGAACCACCGACTACCCCACCCATCCGATGACCAACTGCAGTTCTGCAGCTCGACGAAGACTACGTTCCTAATTTTATAAGGACTCACCAGTGGTTACCATTGGTAATAAGGAGAGGGCTTGGCTCTGAGATGGATAAGCTTATCCGTGGCTTCTTGGGTGGGCCGACGCAAACAAGGCCACGTTACGAGGGGAAACTGACCTATTGAAAGTGTTGATTTTGCCTCATGTTGCACTCCCTCGATTGCAAGTTGAGCCATACATAGTAGGCTTAGATTTACAGTGAGCAGATCCTGGTCGGATTCGATCTCGATCTCGAATGGAACTCGATGTTGAAGCTGCTAGATTTGCCAGATAATTCTATCAGCTGCTGCAAACTACACATATCCAATATATATAGAAAGACCAGAGGGGGCGGCCTCCCTTCAGGCATTAAGGCCAACATTACTGCTGCTTTAGCCACTTCTGGTGCAATGCGATCAGGATTTCACACAATGAGAATGAATGAATGAACAGCATCAGTCGAAATAGATGGGCTGGCATCGGGAACTTAAGTAGATACGGGTCGATCCAATTATAACTCGGATTTGGGCTCATAAATGGGCCTCGATGTTTGAAGCCCATTAATGACTAATCCGAGACAAATCTTGCTCAGAAATCCAACGGTGCCGGGAGCAACGTTGAGAGTGATCAGAACCGCACAAGCTAGGGCCACACCAAAGCTCCATTTTTCTGCGCATCCTTAACACCAAAGCTACTATAAATATCGCGCTGGCGATCGAGCTCCAAACCCTATCGACTCTCCCTTCGCTGCCACTTCGTCGCCGCCGGGATGGGGCGCGTGATCCGAGCTCAGAGGAAGGGAGCGGGTTCGGTGTTCCGGTCGCACACGCACCACCGCAAGGGGCCGGCGCGGTTCCGGAGCCTCGACTTCGGCGAGCGCAATGGGTACCTCAAGGGCGTGGTGACCGAGATCATCCACGACCCCGGCCGCGGCGCCCCTCTCGCCCGCGTCACCTTCCGTCATCCCTTCCGGTACAAGCTCCAGAAGGAGCTGTTTATCGCCGCCGAGGGCATATACACCGGCCAGTTCATCTACTGCGGTCGCAAGGCCTCCCTCATGGTCGGCAACGTTCTCCCGCTTCGCTCCATCCCCGAGGGTGCTGTTGTCTGCAACGTCGAGCACCACGTCGGCGATCGCGGCGTCCTCGCCCGCGCCTCCGGCGATTACGCCATAGTCATCAGCCATAATCCTGACAATGGCACGTCGAGGTCCTACTTTGCCCCTCATCGATCCTTTTTTTAGTTCTTTGTTGTTTTGAGTTTCGGATCTGAAGCCCGAGGAAAAAGGAAATTTTTTTGTTTGATGATTCATGCTCTCGTTTGTGATTTTTCTGACTCAAATGATTAGGTCCATCAGCTTATTGTAATATTTCCAACTTGACCTTTATAATGGATTTCTGTTGTGTTGTTATTTGGTATTATACGGTTTCAAATAGGAAGTCGATAAAGTAGGACATTTAGGTTTTCGTTGATTAAGATATTCTGATTTGTAATCTGACATTCTGAATCCTTCTGATGCAGATAGAATTGTTTGTTCAAAATTTTCTTTTTGATCTTCTATTTTGTGGGTTGTGAATGTGGTTACAGTTAGGATAAGAGTAGTGTAGTTGTCTTTTGTGTAGCATGTTTTAATATGATGTGATTAGTCTTTTATGTATATGAAAACTAGAATTGCTTAGATTATGATGTCAATGCCTCTCAGCTTGTGATAAATTTCAGCAAAAAATAGTGAGAAAGCAGAAGTTTTAACTTAGACATATGGTGAGAGAGGAAGGAAGGTAGGAGAGGCAAGGGATGTAGATCGGAAAGGGATAGAGATACAGATGAAAATAAGTGCAAGTTAAATTACTAAGAGAATTTGGGACCTTTAAATAGAGAAAGAATGATTCTTGCTTCAGAAACTTGTATAGAGATTTAAATGCAAATCTTTTAGTTTCTCTCGGTTCCTATTTTGGGGGGCTTATTTTGGTTCCTGGTTTAGCTTTGCTTCTTTGCAATTAGTTTTTCTTCAACTTTGATGTTCGCTTGACAAGGAGAGAAGCATATGAAATCAACTATATCACAACCTGTAATATTAAAATGAGGAAGTTTAGTTTGTTGGTTGGTTTAGAAAAAACTAGGCTTGAAAGTTCTATAATTAAAGTATAGCCCGATCTTGACTTCACCTGCACTGTCTGGATAGATATGAAAAAAAGGAATAGGTATTGCATCTTGAACAAGTATAAAGGGGGTGATCTAAACATGGGCATAATTACTTGTGTTTATTTAGTAGACATAAATTTCTTACTCTTGCTTGTCAATAGGGAAATGTAATTATAATGCTTGTGGTCTTCACATTCCATTTGTGCATGTATGTTTATTCAGTAAATGTGTACGGTAAAAATACCATTGTTTGCTGAAGCTGTTGCTGTTTTTATTTTTTGATGGGTTTTATTGCCATATTTATTCTTGAATCAGTTCCCCAGATTCTAACTCTCCGGCAGCAATGATCATTCCTTAATTCTTGAGTGTGCCATTTTTGCAATTGCTTTGCATATTATTTTTTGGACTTGAATGTAGGGCGATTTCCTTAGAAAATACATATATTTTGAGGATTGAAATGATTTTTCAATCGGTGACTCCTATTTTGCTTTTTGCCCAATAGCATCTTTAATTTTAACATATCCAAATTACCCCTGAAATTTTCCCACTTATTATAGTGTTTTGACATGTTACAATGTTTTTTTTGTGTTATACTTTGTTTTGATCACCATAATAAAAACACTATAAACCCTATTTGAAAACATTGTAAATGAGCCAAATAAAATCAAAACACTACTAACCATTTGATATATCATACTATGATATATAGTGTCATAATGGTCTACAAGGAATAATAATTAAAAAGCACAATATGATGTCACTTATAGCATCTTTCAATAACGTTTACAATGTTTTTCGTACCTTAATAAAAATGTTATAAATATCAAAGTTTGTCGTATCACGGCATGCTGCTTGATACGAGCGGTAAGTACCAATCCAATAGGGGGTCGGTATGGGTAGTACATACTAGTTTGTCGAGACATCCTATTGTATTGTGTCTCAGTATGTTGGTACGTATCATATCGACGATAGATTGGTACATCAGTGTAGATGGGTCAGACGGACCATGATAAATACTATTGAAAAACATTGTAAATGAGCCAAATGAAAACATTGTAACAGTCTAAAACTAGTAAAAAAATGGGTGAAAAGATTTGGCAGAAAAATTAAGGGATATTTTTAAATTAAGGGTATTGTTTGGGAAAAAACAAAAGAGAGGGTATTGATTGGGAAATACTTAAAATGTGAGTATCGTTTGGGAAATTGCCCTTGAATATATAAATATATATATAATATCCTGGAGCTTACTGAAAGACTTGAGTGTTATGTTCTTTTTGCTCTGAATTTTTTGTAGGATCAAGCTTCCATCCGGAGCCAAGAAGATTGTCCCAAGTAATTGCCGCGCCATGATTGGGCAGGTTGCTGGTGGTGGGAGAACTGAGAAGCCAATGCTCAAGGCTGGCAATGCATACCACAAGTTCAGGGTGAAGAGGAACTGCTGGCCTAAGGTTCGTGGTGTGGCCATGAACCCTGTGGAGCATCCTCACGGAGGAGGAAATCACCAACACATTGGCCATGCTTCCACTGTTCGCCGTGATGCTCCTCCTGGGCAGAAGGTTGGTCTCATTGCTGCAAGGAGGACCGGTCGTCTACGGGGACAGGCTGCTGCCACTGCTGCAAAGGCAGAGAAGACTTCTTAGTTTGCTAGCAATAACAAGCGTATGGTACCTTGGTTTCATTTGAGAGTATAATGGTGGTGACTTTTGTTAATGTTGTGCTGGACCCTTCTGGACTTATTAATCTTGTTCATGAATTGGCTACTTTGATTTACATATAAGATGTTGGTTGAATCACCAGGTTCATATATTGTCTTGGTCCAAGAATCACACACTTGGAATTGGTTTTCTTGAAGGTGGATGAAAAAACTTTTCTTCCCCACAACTATTGGAAGTGAGGTGATACTGGTGGATGAGTGACAATAACATTGGAAGTGAAGTGTGTTTCTGGCTTAATATATGGAAGCACTCCTGATCAGGAAGGTAACTAATTCCCGTATCTTAACCTTCCAAGTCTTGGTTTCCTCCTCACCGTTTAGGGGCGGGGCATATCTGATCAATGGTAGGTGGTTCTCTATAAATTTTTTACAAGGAACTGTAATACTCAGACTTTGATAATATTATCACCGTTATAGGTAATCGATATTCATTGGCATTTAGTATTCCTTTAGCTTGATATCTAATTCATTGGCTCGGTGATCTTTTGATGTGATGATCAATTCTCTAGCTCAATATTTGACCTTCTAATAATTAATTTTTTTATCGAAGTATTTTATATATTACTTATTTCAATAGCATATTAATTTATCAAATTTATTAATTAATTTTATTATAAAAATCTGAGATTGAATGAGACTAGAGATATATCACAATATTATAAAGGGCTATTTTTAATTCATCCGTTTGGGGGGAGGACTTAAGAGGATCACTGTGGGAAGATAATATTTCAGAAGCAAAAGCAATCAATTTCATTCTTAAAATGAAGTAATTAAACATGGAACTATCGAAAGGAGTTTGTGAGCAACAAAGCTCAAACTTCTCATGCACAAGCATCGTCTTCTTCGAGGCTTTCTTCTCTTTTCTTTTTCTCAATCGCCACATCTTCCAAAGGCTGTAGATGGATAAAGCTCCTCTTGGAGTTGAGGAAGAAGATGCTGTAGATGGATGATAAAGAAGAAGCTGATCTCTCAAGGTTAGCTTCTTGATGTCTTCCTTGCTGACGAAGTTGTTGCAGGCCATTGGTGCTTCCTTGAGGTTGTGGAAACCTTGGTTTTATAGCTTTGGAGGAGAGGAGAGGTCTCTTTGCTTGGGTTGGACTCTCCTCAATTAGAGTCTCAACTCAACTTTCAATACTGAGTGCAACTCTCCCTTTAATCTAAGTCAAGCACAAATGAGTTCTTTGAGCTGATCGAATTTGAGTTTGGTTGGATCATATTAGCATCGAATCAGAGTTCATCTCAAACTCCGGTTGAATTGAATTGAAATGTTTCTTAAACAAGAACCGAATCGAATTTGATATTGATGGGGACCGTAAAAATACCTTATTGAGATTGAAAGGATAGATAAATAAGTATTTAATGAACATATTACCTTTAACTTATGTTTAACTGTTTCGGACGATGCGGTTCGCGGATCTAAGATGTATATGTATTCAACATTGCAGGGGCAAATATGTAATTTTAGAAAAGAAATAAAAGAAAACATGGTCTCGGTCGACCACAAAAACGACTGCATTTAGGGCTTTCGGCCAATCGCGATCGCTTGCCGTCGCTCCTTCTTCCATCTCCGACCCATCTCTCTCTCTCTCTCTCTCTCTCTGCTACATATATCGGAGCTCGTCATGGCGATTCCAGGCCCTTACTCCGGAGTCAGCACCCTCGCCTTCGTACGTCTCCCTCTCTTTCTCTATTTCGCTCTATTTCCTTTTTCTCTAATCACCTATTCGAATTTGGTAGGTGGCTCGCACCTCGGCTTTCGCCTTCGGCCTTGTCTACGGTAGCATTAAGCTTTCCTATCTCCGGGTATTTGTACTAGATCTCTCTTTCCCCTCTGATCTTTGCTCTTTCGATGTGCATTTAGCTCCTACATCCGTGCTTTGTTGTCGTGACTACATTTGGCGCTGGTCACCGATTGTTTGTGGTATCAGATCCTGTTGCTTTATCCGGCTGATCTGCTTTCTACGTGTGTGAAGGCTGATATCTACGATTCTGAGTCTCTTGATTTAGCGTACAGGACTTCTAGTGAGTGGGTCTGATGTAGCTTGGAGTCGGGGTTTAAATGAATCAATACATCAAAAACTCGTCTAATCCATGACAAGTTTGACATCTTTTGTAGAGTTGAATGCAAACATTGGATCATAGGTCATAGTGCTATACCAAAATTCCAATGTTTTAAGGGTTAAAAAAAGTTCAAAATTTGCTTAATACATATTTACTAGTAAATTCTGAAACTGTGATACTTGTGACATCCCGATTTAGTCTGACATTGGAAGTGGGAGGTTGATTGTGGTTAATGTACAGGGCTAGATGGGTATCTTACGATTATCTTGAACTTGAGAATTTTGTGCCATCCAATATTGGACCCTATCAAATTAATGGTTGGGTCTTTGCCCATTGAGCTGTGTGTTAGTGACACCTATTCTTGGTTATTTGAGATAGTGACTCATTGGCTGATTTTTTGTTCTTTTTTTTTTTTTCCTACCACTTTGTGAAAATTTCTATTTCTTGTTCCCTTCCCTTTGGATTTGTCCTTATGTTTTATGATGCTTGTTGCATAACATTTATGGTTAAAGTATATGACCTGTGGCATTTTGTGAAGTAATATTTACATGCAATGCTTCACTTCAAAATTTGTGCAGCCACATGCTTTATTAAGGAGAATGTACCTGTGAAAGATGCCACTTAAAATCTTCAATATTGTCAGCCCTTCAGTGTTTTCTATTGCTTTGCTCTGGGGAGGGATGAATTGGAATATCTGATCTTATAGTGTCGAGTGTTGCTTGTAAGCTAGTTTCGTTAAGTGATATTCCTTAAATTAAAAGAAAAGGCAGGGTTACTTCATTAACTTTTAGAATATCCATTTTCATAAAATGTGATCCTTGGTGGTAATGACTGATGTGTTTGATAATCATAATCATAATCATAATAGATGCCCTTGATCTTTTCTCTTTTCTTTGTTACGAAGACAAGCCAGAGCTGGTTGTTCTTATCGAAGATATTTTGTAGAGCTTGTTTAAAGATGCATAAAAGATAACACATGTTGAATCTTTTTTGTGTGTTTTATTCATATCTAATATCATTTTCCATTTGTTATGTAGACTAAAGCAAAGTCTCACAAGAAGGCTGATGCTAAAGGCCACCACTGAGGACAAGGATGTGTCCTGCTGTGGTTCCTGTTGATGGGTGTCCTCGAATCTTAATTGGCTTAAATTTTTGTTATTGTGAATCTCTCTGCAATCTGGTTCATGGTTTTCTTAGTCACTGAGACCACAATGTATCAGAAAAGGGAATATCCTTTCGATTTTTGTTTGCAATAATCCATCTCTAGCTGTGTCGGGTAAAATTTAACTTCCCTTTATTTCACATTAAATAAGCAAATGCAAAATCAGCTTGCTAACCACAGTCTGCTACTAGTTTTGGTTTGCGTGCTACATGCTTCTACTTCATGTTAAACATCTGGCAACAGCTCTCTTCCTGGTGTTCAGATCAAATGCCTGCACAGGTAAACATTAATGTTCTTATCGTGATTATGTTTTAGCTAATTGGAACATTGTGCTTCCATCCATACTGTTGATGCTTGTCTAGGATGAAGTGGTGTGAAACCTCCCAACTAGATTTCTCAATAGAAACGCCTTCACAAGGATTAGTTGATTGAGAGCTTCGATGATTGTTTTGATAAAGAAGTCATCGTCATCAGCTGGACATAGTTTCTTTTAACTATACTACACTCACAATCAATAGCTAATTTCTTGCAGTGTATTAATTATTTGACAGTTTTTAGGGTACCCTACCCTAAGGTTACTTGAGCAGCCAAAAAATCCTGATCTGATGAGTCAACTGGCCAATAACTTCATTTTGATCCTTTAATTACGGATCAAAATATTTAAGCGGGAGTTAACATAATACACTCATCAAGCACATATAAGTTAATCATACTCATTGCCCATTTTTCATGTGGGACTAATGGGATGTTACAATATTCTCATTCTAACTCAATTAATTTGACATCCTCAGGTAGTCCTTTTTTACTCGAGCTTTTCCAAATGCTAAGTCGGCTCTGATACTAAATGTCACGATCCGAGTCTAATGAGTCTCTATTTTGGTCCTTCAATCACGGATCAAAATGCTTAAGCAAGAATTTAATACACTCATCAGGCCCATATAAGCCAATCATATTCATTGCCCACTTTCCATGTGGGACTAATGAGATGTTACACTAAGGTCCCTTTGCAACCAAAAACCCTAATCGTCAATTTGTCCCATGCAATCATGAATCCCTAGCACTAGGGTCTCCTAGGCGGTTAGGGTTAGGAATCCCTATCCCTATGGTCCTCTCAGCGCTAGAAAACCTTGATCGTGCTTGTCCCATGTGACCATAAATCCCTAGCACTAGGGTCTCCTAGGCGGCTAGGAAACGACTTCAGGTCCAACCCGGATCCGGACCGTTTCGCTTGTAACCGCTCCACGTCTGATCCAAATGTCTTAAGATAGTGACACCTGAATGCGACCCGATACTCGCATAATATGATAAGATATCGTGGCGGGTAGCCGGCGGCGGACTTCACGGTTATAACCACCGCCAGTGCTCATTGGTGTCCATAAATAACAAAAAGCCACGACTCCGACTCCGATGGGCACCTCCGAATCTGTTCCCCGCAAACCGCACCAGGTTACTCTTCCCCCTTTGCCCCCTCTCCTCCTCTCTGGCGGAAACCTCTTCCCCTTCTCCATTCGTGCGATTGATCTCGTTTTTGTTGTTTCTTTAATCTCGTTTGTAGCCGATCGATGAGATCACCACCGTCTCCGAGAGGATCGAGGGCGTCGATCCCCTTCTGGAGCGCATCAAGTCCCTCGATATCGTAAGTCCGCGCTCTCTCCCGGACTTCTCCTCCTTTTCTTCCTCTTCCGATTTCTTACCTTCCTTCGATCGATCGATCTGTTTTACTGTCGATGCTGTTGGCAGGCGACGCCGCTGCTGAACTCGCTGCCTCCTTCCGAGACCAGCATATCCGACATTCTTGTCAGGAAACCCTCCTCGTCCTCGTCAATTCAAGGTGAGCCTTTCTTGTGCTTGAAATGTTCGACATAAGTTCCTAGTTTATTCCAGATAAAACATCATGATTTGCTACAAATTTAGCTCTCTGAATGCACGAGTAGCTTTCATTAATGTAGCTGCACTCGGACCAAGATTTGAGTAGTTGAAATTGTAGTATTTGTGTCTAAAATTGTTATTTTTAGATGCTCATGGAATCTCTCGATAATAGGTAATTTGAATCCGAAGGTTTTGTTGGAGCTCTTCTCTATGTATCGTGAGTGGCAGGAAGGGAAGGTCAAGAATATATGTGGAAAGCAGGTGCCATCGTTTAATTACATCTGAGGATAGTAGTACTACTTAACATCTTAATGTTGTCTCTGGGGATACTTCTCAAATAGCATTATTTTAAAAGCTGTCACTAATTTAGACCTGCCAATGTACTACCGATGACATAGATAGATTTGTCTAAGATAGTTCCCTGCACAAAGAATTAGGACATCTGGGGTTTCCTCACCTGTGCATCAAACTGGAACAAGATACTGTTGCTAATGCATGAGTTTCACGAAATACTTTATAGCAATTTTAATTGATAACAATAAGAAGTATTCACCTTCATATAGATATTTCTGAAGCACATTTATATAAAAATGAGTCTAGGCTTCACAAAATATTTGTCTTTTTTTCCTTTTTCTTATAAATTGCAGTTATGCTTTTGATTTAGATATATTTGACTGGCAACTGCAAAGAAATTAAACTTCAGTTTTACCATGTACCATAGACTTCTAGTACAATACTTCAATGTGGACTTATAGGTCTCTTTTCCTATCATTCTTCCTACATAAATGGTTAAACACTTGTGATATTCAGAATATTAGACATTTCCTAATGTCATGTGTACTACCATTTCATCAGTACCCAAGACATAATCACCACTTAGAAGCATCAATATCCTTCCATTGCAACCTTGAAGATTTCTTTTTATTTTCTTTTTAAACAAGTAAACTTGCAAGTGGTTTTACACAAGCACGAGCCCTGAAGGATTGCATGTCACCATTTTTTGATCTAGAAAAACCAAATCAACATACTCATATTTTGGCTAAACACTTTTTTGTTGCCGGTCTATCTAATTTTGTACTTTATATGAGTCATGACCCGAAATATGAATAGGATAAATTGATGCCCCTACTAAATAAGCCAATTTATAATGACAATGCAGTTTAGCTCAAGAACTCCATTCTATATATGATTAAAAAAAGACCTACATGATGTGTTCCATTATCTAGGTGATGTCATGGTTCACTTTACCGGTTCATATCGGTATATCAATCGGCTATCGGTATGGTACATTTTGAACCCTATCGACATACTAACATATGGTACAATGAGATATATCGACAAATTGGCATGTATCGCCCATTTTGAGTGGTACACTATGGTATAACAAACTTTGTGTCATATAAGTAGTCAATTGATTGACAACTCATAAAAAATTAATATTAGTATGCTAATTAACATCATTCTAATTGCATACTTCAATTACAATTTTTTGGCATATAGGATAATTATGAAATGATTCTTGTCATTTCTGGGTAAGGGAATGAAATAGTGGTTTAAAATTCAGTCATGTGCATGAACACGAAATGTTTCATGAACAAAAATGTGTGGCATGGGCTTGTTAAATCAACAAACTTGAAATCCTTAATGTATATTTTTGGTAGTGTCTGAAACCATTACAACAACAATTGCAAGTCCCCTGCAAACACAGTCTAGTTTTGGACGTAACAAAAAGGTTTTTCAGAGATGGATTGCACATTTGGTTTGTTTGGAGAATTTCTCTAGTACCTTTGTCTCATATTTCTTTGCTCGACTTGGATTTTCTCTCTTGTTTCTCTGTTGTGTGTGTAGTATGACCATAATAACTTCATGATATAGCCATAATGATGTATGTATCAAGGGGTATATATTTCTTCGTGTTCATTTGAGATTTTTTCATGACTAAGCCTGGTGATACAATGAAAGATGTTTGAGTTTCCTGCAATTATGACCATACTACAGGAAGAGATAGATAGCAAGATAGAAACTGCAGATGCTCTGGCTGTTAAGCTTCTTCAGCGTTTCAATTATTCAGTTTCAGCTATGAGATCGACTGCTCACGGTCTTGCCGAAGGTAACTCGCCCAACTTGTCTGATTATCTCATCCAAAAAAATTTACCAGATTCTATGATTACCGACCGATCTGTTACTTGTATGTCTTTATTGGGAAAGGAAAAGTACCATGTCTAGTTGATAATCTACAAAACACCAGTCTTTTCCAAGACCAGAAAAGATGGGACTGTTTTTGTTACTGATGTTTTAAGCGAACATTGCAGTGCAGCATTTACAGGTAGAAGTTGGCGAACTTAAAGGCAGACTTACGGAGGTGATAAGCAATTGCGATGCATTATGCAAGAGAATTGCGGCAGAAGGAGCAGAGTCGAGTCACTTGGCTCATCTGTGAATTCGACGTTCTCAGCCAACAATATGGAGAGGTACGGTCCGTTCAACACACGTGTGGTTTGTAAACATTCCAGAGTTTCCACATGCATTTCCCGATGTTAAAAGGCAAACAGAATCCCTTTCTCCATCATGCACATCTGTTTTTGAAGAACTGTACCGTCCGTCATCTGCATCAATAAAAGTCATTCTTATAATATGACTTTATAAAAGAATCTAGGAACATAAATATGAAATATTTCTTTTTGAACTCTGTTATTAACGTTAATAAGTTTCTTTGCTCTTTGAGGATAGCGATGGACATCAACTCTGATCCAATGACAACCTGGTCCTCTTTCCGAACACCCATCAACAACAGCCTGCCAAAGCTGCGACGGACGTTGCTCCACCCAGCAGCTTCACTTCGCCTTCAGCTAGCATCAACTAGAAAAGCTCCAGTGCTATTCCGGGTGATGACACCACCCGGAATAGCGCGTGGTGCAGCCAAGTTCACATTTACTATGATGCAGCAACAAGGCCATAACGCACGTATCCACTTGTTTGACAAAACCGAGTCATACAAAGCAACCCCAAATCATGCTTAATAACAGCAAAGTATATAATCCATAGTACCATCAAGTAGTACTCAAGTAAAAACCAAATGAGACACTCATCATGCTCCTCTTTTTTTTTGTGTGGAAGAGAGAGCATAGAAAACAAAAAAAGTAACCATCACAACTTCAATACTAATGTCATTTATGTTGTGGATCTTCATAATCCAGAATCAAATCTGAAGTTTTAAGTTTTCCTCGTTAAACTGGTCATCAACTGGTTCTCAGGATAATATGGACACCACTGTCGGTATCCACAATGCCACTAAGGTCGCCCACTTTGAGTGCATAGGTAGCTTCTTCAAAGGGCTTCTGCATCTGTCCCCGCCCAAAACTACCTGCAGTATTTAGAGAATAATTGAGGTCAATGCAGGCAGGTAACACCATTTATGGGATGTTAAAAAGGAGTGAGAAGAGCAGAACATCATTATTCTGCAAGCATGGTAGGATCCTTGAATCCTAACAAGGAAATGGTGAACTATTTTCATACCAATGCAATTAGAGTTAATCAAAGCTGCGAATATAAATTCATCATACTTTTTAAGTCGCATCAGCATATTTTTAGTAGCACAGCCACAAAATCTTGATTTGTTTAGATTGCACAGGATAATGCTTTTTTATGTTCAAGGGACAGAGATTAAAATAAAAAAAAAAGTATCACAATGATAGAAGAGATATTTCTTAGTCTCTTAATATCAGTTATCAAAGCTGCAATCTACGAATATAACATGATATGAAAATCATGACAGCCTTTCAACCAACAACAAAATTTGATATAAAAGTTCTGAAAATTAATAAAACAAAAGAAGTTCAGGAGTGAAACAGATGAATTATGTATGCAATCTTATCCTCGAACATGGGAAAACAATCAATACAGCACCCAGGTTGCAACCGAACAAATCCTATGGTTGCACCTTGGAGTAGGCATGTTCAGAACATACTACTAGTTGTTAAAGTTTTGGCTTAGATACTAATGTGTTACAATTAAAGGTTTAATAAGACAAGAAAATATATGATTGACTATCTCATCCCTTTTACTCATCAATGTATGTTTACCAAGCTGTGAAAGCATACTGTCCTATACCCTGATACAAATCAAATCTTCCTTATCCATCACTTTATTGTGCTCACAAGAAACTTAATTAAAATCAGAACTTCATAACTTATCTATTTTACTAACATGCATCCATATAGTTACGATTAAATATAATCACCAATTCTGTAAGCAGCTAGTACAACTACATGTCCTCACTTCAACTCGATCCATATTGAGAGCTAACTACTGGAAGCTTTTTCCAAATCAGCTCTGACTGCTTCCAGCAACATTATAATGTCATATCCTCTCAAGACACCATCTACACTTTTTGTTGAATGACTCTGGAAACATGAAACTCTCTGGATGAGGCATACACAACTTTCATGGCATTCTCAAAAAAAAAACAAAGACTAGATCAAGATGGAAAACAACATACAGCATCACTTTCTGGTAATTCATTGAGAAAACATTGCATGATCAGCTTTACAGAAAGTTGAATAAACTATCATACCCACTCAAAGCCATAAGAATTTCTGATTGTTTCACCAAGCCCAAAACATTCAACTGCAGGGGAAGCTTGAGACCTTCATATTTAAATTTGCAGGCAACTAGATATGTTTTGATGTCTAGCAGCTATTTCTCATGGATATTTTTAGATCCATGGTCTGAAGTTGTTTCTTTGAAGTCAATCACTTATCCAAAAACCATTAAAATATAGGCTTTCTAAGTTTTTGCAATCTTACTTAGTAGTTGAACAGAGGTTTGCAACGATAACAAATGGACCAAATAAGCATCAACAAGGCTCTAATGAAAAGCTTCAGCTTCCCCAAGTCTTATCTCATCAATCCTTCAACAGTTGGTCCACATGATGATTTTGAAGGCTAGAGTCCTAAGACAATCAGCAAAGCAAGATGAACCAACTATTTTAACCTAACTGAAGTAGAAAACTTGTAGAAATAAATTGGATTCAATATTCTTCTGTATCAAATTAAACATAGTGGTGATACAGTGAAAACTTTATATGTATCAAGAAATATCCATGTTTTTGTTCTTTTTCATATAGAGGTAAGAATGTAGCATCCGAAGTTTTGGCTAACACTGTTTGTTAAATGTGAATGAGCAACTACAAGAGTCATACAGCAAACTAGGTTTAGTTTAGACTTACTGTGTTCCTGTACTTGTTCTCTTATTGTGTTATTTGCCTTTTGACTTACCTAGGTTTAGTTTAGACTTACTGTGTTCCTGTAATGTACATTAGCCCTAGTTATATCAGAGTAGGAGCTAGCTTATTTAGAGACTAAGAATCAGTAGAAGCATCAAACTGATACTAGAGGACTGTCAATGTTGTACACCAAACAGATGCTAGACCCACACTAACCTAAAGCATCAAGTTAAACCTAACTCAGGATAATTTAAATACAGAATAGTATAAAATATATAAGAGTGATCACTGGACACTAAAAGAATTTTTTTATCTAAAATATGCAAGCATTATGACAAGTTGCTTCGAACAAAGTACCACCAAGTCAACAAGAACATATTACAACATGTTTGTTGTAGGGAAATCTTAGGACGACATCACATGCGTAGCAGAAAAACAAAAAGAAAAATCCCAGATTTTCACAAAAAGATTTCATCAACATGCGGAGATTGGTGCGCAAAAACCGTAAAATCAAAAACTGCACGTATAAAAAAGATGTGTTACCTAGAGAGATCGTATATCCCTGAAATGAGAGGATGAAGAAGGTCAAGTGTCCTCCTTTCTAGCGGTGATCCACACAGCAGGGGCTGCAAAGCTGCTCCTCAAATCGCTGTCCAAATCCTTACACACCTCAAATAGGGGCTGCTGGCTGAGGAAGAGAATAAGAGACGACAACCAAAAAGGCTTAGCCTATGGCCCTTTAGTTTCCTCCTATTTATAGAGGTCCCCTATCAACTTAACTCTAATAGATCCTGCCTTATTGGGTACTGAATCTCCATCCAACCACTCAAGTCTCTTACATTAGTGGATCTCTACCCAATAATCTCTCATTTGCTCTTATTAGATCTTATGTATAAGATTTAATAATTCATGAGCTTATTGGATATCCAATAAGATAAAAGCTCTAACGGATATCTCATATCCGAACCTCTACTCGTCGCAACACCTACCATATGTGTGTGACTATCTAGGCTCAATATCGAGCTGGTCGTGAATCATACCTATCAGAACTCTTTCTGTCTCAATGAATTATTATATAATTCACTCGACTCATCGACTGCGAACGTATTATGCTACTACGCCAGTCCACAGACAATACAAAAGAATACAATCATTTGGATCTATCTGTCCTTAGTTACCATGTACCTATAATCCCTCATCCATCTAATACTCCAAAGATCGTATACTGGGCATGGTGCTGTCAGACTCATACGGTTTCAACTCGAGTCTCGCTCTAATCGGATTCTCTTAGAGAACTTTTTCTCTTTCAATCCGAATGATCCTAACCAGGGATTTGTTTGAGCAAGAACACATGAGATATTCCTCTTAGATACCGAGAGTGGATGATCCTTTATCGATACTCAATAGCACTCGTAAGATTTTCCGATAATTGATTGTGCTGGATCTGGAACTTCCAGACCTATAAGTCCGGTATTAAAGAGTGAAGTACTCATACAGGATATCCTTGGTATCTCGAGTCTGAAGACCAGATACATCGCTGGGACAACGAAATCATTGTCTGACGATGAGGTATCATCAACCATCTAGCATTCCGTAAATGGATCAATCAGTGAACTCATTCTTCAATGAGCAACTACATTGTATCCCTAGTGTCTCTGCACGAACAGCTATGAGATCAACTGCTTCCATCATATGGACATGTATATATTACATCAGTCTGTCTGGTTATCTCGATGTTCCTATCGAGTAACATATTATCAGGATTATTTAGGATCTATGATCTCATTATCATGATCTGATTCTCATTGCACATATTTATGGATATAATAATATATATGTAACAAATAATATAAAATAAGAAAATATAATAATAATAATAATAAATAAAAAGAGTACGTATTCATGACTTGCTGCTCTTGACTAGTACTAGCTCCATTGCATATCTCATAAAAATTTGTTACTTCTAGTACTTAATCAAAGAAAAAAAAAGTAGTTTTAAGCTTGTGTGAGTCCAGTGATCCTATTCAATGATAACAACATGCCTTAAATAATACTACAGTAAAATACCAAAATATTAATGGTCTTCTTTTCCACTCGACGATCATTTAATTTATCTTGGACTTGGATCCATCTCCTACCATAATATACTATTTTAAATAACATCCACAGCATACCCAATGCGCTGATTTTTGAACTGATCTAAAGATTCCACCCTACACTCATCAAATTCCTACAATCCATGACATTAAATCTTATAAAAGACTCATTTTTACCAGATCGCAATACGCACAAATCAGACATGCTGGTAACATCATAGATGAATTTAAATAAGGAAAGATAAAAATCAAAGGATCGAAAGATTGGTGCATAATATCAAACAGAACACGTCGAAGAAGATATTTAACGTAATAGATCAAACATCTCACTGTCGTCACGGGATCGCGAGAGAGGCAGAACAATCAACGCGGGACAAACCAACAAATCGAGGAAGAAAGGGAAAACCGAATCCAGAAACGTAACCCTAGAAAGGGAAAGATGGAGGTGGGAAAATGAACTGACCGAGATCGCCGCCGCGCTTGGCGGAGCTGCAGTCGGAGTGGAGGACGGCGACGTCCTGGAAGCGGGCCTTTCCGGAGTCGATGTCGTCGCGGAGGGTGAGGAGCTGGCGTACGGCGGCGTCGCGAGTGGTGGCAGAGATGACGCGACCGTCGGGATCCTTCCACGAGGCCTTGCGCCGAGAACCCTCGTGCTTGATCAGTATGTGCGATGCCCTCACCTGCTCCGCAGCCATTTCTTCTCGCTTCCCCGCCTCTCCTCCTAGAGCGCGGCTTCAGACGAGATTAAGAGGCGAGGGTAAAAGCGGCGATTTAATTTATTGGAATATATATATATATATATAAACCGAGCCCTCCTTATAACGTCTCGTAATATGATTTGGATTCGTTTATGGAAGAACCTGACCGCGTTGGTAGATCTTTCTCCACTTAATCTATCCCACATCGCCTGTGGCGGAAACTGGACGCGATCTCGTATTTGTAGATTTCTTGAACATAGCTTAAGCAATGCAACATCGATGTTCATATTGAAGTTAAAATAAATCAATATAATTTTGGGGTAAAATTATCCAATTTTTTGGGGTTTTTTTCTTGGGGGTTGTCATCCGATTGATGGAGGGTAAGCCCCCCACCCGATTGTAGTATTACCCCCTCTTCCACTACTTCAATACCACAAAGATCCACGGCTCCTCTCGATCCAGCCGTGGATCGTGATCTGCTTTCTCTTTCCCCTTGTCCTTCGTCACATGCGGCTCTGCTCTAATTCGTGGGAGAAGCAACGCTATAATCGGGTCTCTGCAACGTCCCAGAGACCACGACGGTGCAGGGTCGTAGAGGATTGCCTGCGCGCGTGAAGAACTTGGACTTGATGTCGTTGCACGGGAAGGACCGGCAGAGAGCCAAAAGGACACCGGCGACGAAGGTGATGCCCTCAAATTCGAATGATTCCAATATAACTTAGATTATCTTGGTCCATTTATGTTAGAGCTAGTCTCAGAAAATTTATCAAAAGATAATTTTGACAATCCAACAAAGATAATAAAGCGAAAAGATAAAAGCGACAAGAACACCAGATTTACGTAGATTTACGTAGTTCGATCAATTGACCTTGACCTACATCCACGAACGAAAAAGGAACAAATCACTACTATAAAATGAGACTATTACAAATGCCTTAGGAAGATATTCCTAGGTCATAAAACATCCGAAAATACTAAACAAGAAAAACTTAAACTATAAACCCAAATTATTTAACTGAGTGTGGACTTAAACCCAAAACAAACACTTAGGTTTTTCTTGTGGTGCATCTGATTTCAAAACCCAGACCCTTATTTATAGTTTCAATAAGAGATAACAAACCTGATTTTCCCGATAGGACCATGAGACTTGTCAAATTAACAATTTACAATTTATATGAAGAATGTAAACAGATATGATGATGACCGCATTGACTGGTTGACAAAACATGTTAACATCAGCCATAGACCACATAGGATGAAGATGGTGGAAGTTGCAAGTTTGCAGAATATACTATGTAGTAGTGAAACAGTGACCGATGGCATGGCACAGACACTGGAACTTCGAAACAACTTCACAGAAACTGTAGCTTATGACAACAATCTAATAACAAAGAGTAGAGCAAAAAGTAGCTTAACTCACTCTACTATCATGCAAAAGCATACCACTAGTCGCGCGAATTAGTTCCACAAAAGAATTAACAGGTATTCTGCCATAATTGTCTCAGCAATAAATTTCACAGATTTAAGACAATCAGGCCATTCCAAAGCAATCCATATGTGAAATGCAGGATTACATTATTTTTTGCAGCAGCTACATACATACATATGGTGTCTACCAGAAACACAATTGCTAGTTTCACCATAGGAATGGGATGCACTCACCAGAGCTAGTTGCTGGACACAAGAACTGTGAGGGGAATGAATATGCAGACATGCTGACAAGGACATCTTTTTTTGTAATCATATAATCAATTACAATTTATTCTGGAATGAATTTCGTTGACTAATTTGCATATTATCTCTGGTTCTTTAAATTGCCATCATCATCATATCCGACAATCAAAAACTATATGGAGTTGCATTCAAATTTATCAAGCAGAGATTAAAAAGAAGAGGAACGGATCTGCGCATCCGCTCCGGGTTATCGAGGAATGAAACACTCGGACCAGCAAACATGTAAAAAATGCACTTACTACATTTTGAGACAATTATATAGAGTTGGCTGACAATTTCTTTAATCTATAGGCCAAGAATATGAAAAAACAAAAATCCAAAAAGGCTAGACAAAATAATCCCATTGTTGAACAGTATACGATCTTTTGCCTCATTCCTGTTCAAGATGCAACTAAAGGAAGAGGCTACATCAACTAGCTGACAGAATCTAGTCGATGCCATACAGACTGACACACAAGAAAATGTTTGTGCATTTAATGGACGATCATATTGGTTAGATGCAAGTTGGAGGAATGAAAAGGATCTTGCCCCAGAGTTAAGTTGAAAGATAATTAATTGAAGAAAACTGTACTGGCCTTGGATCTATAATAAGTTTAATACTTTCTACAGAAAATCTTTAGCATGACTTTCATGCTCTCCTTCTGTCGACTAGTTTCCAAAGTATTCCACACACTTGTACATATGATAACTACTTCTCTGCTAAAACATTAGATTTCCTCCTGGGTAGGGAACCTGGACTTAGAATGTCACCACCATCATCGCTATCAGAAAGTGGATGAGACCGGACAATTAAGCCAATTAATTGAAAAGGCGAATCCATTGAGAAAAGGATAGATAAATGGAAGTGAGATTATGTTTGGACACCAGCACTAAAGAATCTGCTAAAGCATTCAAATTGCCAAGAGAAGGAAGTGGAATCATCTTTGAGACCTTTTTCTCTTAGACACCAGAAAGTTGAAGCAAAAGACATGGTAGATATGGGACACAGCTTGGGTTACATTACCAAAGGTTACATTAACAGAAAAGGATCAAGAGACAGAACAAAGCTGCATAAACAGAAAAGGATCAAGAGACCGAACATTCACATGCCCCAGCAAGCACTACCATCATGCATGCCTAAAGAAAGAAAACCTAACATTCTGCCAGAACCATGGCAGCATCTTATCGACATGAGTTGGCCATCCATCAACACTTGAATTTTGTAGTAAGTTATGCATGAGGTTCAGACACGGAAGTGATGACAATTGATTCATTGCAATCTCCCTTGACTCAAAATTTCAATTTTGTGAATCAATCTTTTAGCAATTGGATCATAACCTTATCTCCAAACTACTCTACATCCAACAATGTGGAAACAAGAATTTAAACTGATGAACGATCAATAGTAAACTAACCAACCGTGATGCGAAGGAAGGTCAGATTCAACTTACCGAGCCTTTTTCCGTGACCTGAATGAGAATCCACCTGGTGGTGATGGTGAGAACTCAGGCGGGAGGTGCGGAGGCTTCGACTCCCCAGTGAGCATGCTTAATATTTCCTTACTAGACGGGCGGCGGGCCGGAGACCACTGCAGACACAGAAGCGCAACTCTGATGCAGAGAAGGGCCTGGTCTTTGTCAACACACTGGAGGCAGGGGTCAACAAGATCCAGTAGCTTCCCTGAATGGGCAGCATGCCGTGCCCATGAGATGAGGTTTGCTCGCTCAAACTCCGACATGGGAGAGGCCGTCACTTGCAGCGGTCTCCTCCCTGAGATGATGACCAACAGAAGAACACCAAAGCTATAAATGTCACACTTCTCCGAGAGCAGCCCACCGCTGCCATACTCAGGAGCCACATAGCAAACAGTGCCCCTCATGCTTGGTGTGCTACTCACCGTTCCACTTCTTGGGATATCCCCACTAGCCCACTCCAGGCTGCTTCTCCTTCCACCAGTTCTGATCTCTCCGGTAATACGATCTATCCACCAATCCATGCTGCTACGGCTGCCGCGGCTGGAGTTCTTTTTCTTCTTCCACCTCTTCTTCTTCTCCGAAGGTGAAGCAAAGTCGGAGTAGTCCTCATCGTCCTGCCACCATTTTTGCTCTCCACGTCCACCGTCGCTGCTCTGGGACTTGGCCATTGCCCGCCACTTATGTTTCTGCGTCAGCTCCTCGCAGAACTCCTCCCGCCACCATTCCCTGGCGGGCCGGCTCTTCTCTTTCTTCTGCAGGCTCTCCTCGTCCAACGAAGCCCGCCACTCTGTCTTGGGATGGGTCTTCTTTGGCTGTGGTCTCCCACCGTTCGAGGGTTTCGGCAAGCATTCCTCGGCAGCGGTGCCCGGAGAGGCGGTCATCCAATCGCTCCTGGGCCTATCTTTCTTGACCTCTGATCGAATCCATTCCATAACGTAGTCCTTGACGCTGCCCCCCGTCTCCGAGTTCGGTCCCTCGCCGCTGATGTCCTGCCTCCACCACCAGCTTTTGCCGGACGAGGGCTCGGCCTTGTCCTTCCCGCCCCCCCTTCGTCGACCGGACAGCGATGCGTCCTTCCCGCTGTCGACGCTCGCTCCATCGACGCCTGCTCCAGCCTCCGAAGCGGAGGCCACTTCCAAGACGGTCACTGGTGACGCCACCGTGCCTCCCTCATCTTCTTCCGCTGACCTGTCGGTGGCAGCGATGCCGGTAGCTCCCCCGTTCATCGCTTCTTCGAACAGAATCGTAGTTGGTGCCATGCTCTCTGGCATCTCTTCCATGGCCACGGCCGAGGCATCGTCCTCTCCGTCTCCGACCACCGAATCTTTCATCCTCTCATTTCTTGACTTCTTGGAACCGTTCACCACGCACTTGTCGAGATCGATATCGACGACCACCTCCGCCTCGGCAGGGAGATGGTCCACGGGAACGTTGGATACAAGACGGGCGAGGCCGAAGTCGGAGATCTTGGCCGAGAGGTGAGCGTCGAGGAGGATGTTGCTGGGCTTGATGTCACCGTGTATCACGGGCGGATCGCAGACGGCGTGGAGGAAGTTGAGGCCACAGGCGACGTCGATCACCAAGGCGAACCTCCGCGCCCAGTCCAGCAGCTCCGGGGACCGACGGTCTAATAGCGCATCCTGGAGGCTCCCGTTGTGCATCAGCTCGTAAACCAAGAGGAGCTTCCTACCGGGCGCAGGCGCGTGGGTGGCGGCGGCTTCCGAGACCTCCAGCGAGTCCTCCACCTCCCGCCGTCTCCACCACCTCCACCAAAGCCGGCGGCGACTGCCGTCATCGTAGCAGTAGCCAAGAGCCGGAACGACGGCGACGGCTGCGGAGGAGGTCACGGGAAGGATCTTGGCGGCGAGGGCGAGCTCGTTTTGGAACTCGCGCTCGCCCTGGAGGGAGCCGCATGAGTTCATGAGTTTGACGGCAACTTCCTCGCCGGAGGGGAGGGCGCCGCGGTACACGGGGCCGAAGCCGCCCTGGCCGAGGAGGTGGGAAGGCGCGAAGGACGCGGTGGCTCGACGAAGCTGGCGGTAGGTGAACCGACGGAGGGGGCTGGCGAGGGTGGAGGCAGCGGGGTGGGTGCCGCCGCCTCCGCGGGCGAGGCGGCGGTAGAAGATCAAGGCCACGGCCACGGCGAGGACCGCGGCCAGGACGGCGGCCTTGCCTGCGATAGCCGGTATCGGAATGGGTTGGCGGTGGTGCTGAATCCGACGGAGCCCCAGCTCTTCCACTGGCGGAGGGCGGGACGGCATCAGTAAGTCTCAACTCTCAACCCTCGGATCGCGATGGCAAAAGATACACAGAGAGAGAGAGAGAGTACGGAAATCTTGGAGAAGGTAATGGAAAGGAATGAAGTAAAAGGTTTGGTCCTTTTTGTTCCACGCTATTGTATTGTCAAAGCACACGAGAGTGGGGAGATCGATCGATTGGAAGGAAGGAGACTATATGGGCTTATTATTCTCTTTGCATAGTTTTGTTTTTGCCAATGATTCTTTCAGTTAGAGTGTTGATCAGCTGATGGAAGATTGGAAGTATTTATTAGAGGTGATGTGTTGTCCATATATTAGAAGAAGCTTGGCCCTCTGATCAGTGATGGGAATATTAATGTGTGGTGGCGATGATAGTGTTCCACATCCTTTTTGCCTCCACCACAAAAGCATCTTTCTTCAGGTGATGTATCGGAAGCGACTTTGATGTACCATTCATTTATGGTGAATATGAGACATAGCATCCGTAAGATAAATGATATAATAGACATACCATTTATCGTAACTAAAATAGCTTCTTCTTTTTTTATAGGATTATTATATTAATGGATTACTCGAGAATAATAGCTGCTGTCCAATTCAACTGGGCAGAAGCAATTGAGTTGAGAGAGAAAGAGAGAGATTTGTGAACCATATGTCTCCCTGTCAGGAAAACAAACACACATTGTGGAAGGAATATAGTGGCCATCTGTTGTCTGCAAGTGCATTAAAAACAACAAAAATCTTGCATTGCATCAGTGAGAGGGGGACGTATAGATAAGAGGAAGAGATTTGTAAGTGTCCGTCCGCCCAAGTTTTAAGTCGACATCTCTTTGAATCGACGCGAATAAAGAAAGCAAAATTTTCGAATAACTTACCGACGCGGTTGAACAAACACAAAACATTATTTATCATATAAAATAATATTTTTAAATTAAAAAATTTACTAGAAAAATCTTCACTATTAGGTTTTTTTTATGTCTGATGATGATGGTGCCTCTCGTAATCGGTTTTACTGTTTGTTTTTTTCTGTATGGACAAATATATTGTCACTCTTTAAGTTAAATTACATCATATCATGATCAAAATAGAATTTATGATATTCGGTCCTATTGAATTGGTCCAATTTGATTTGTATCATTTCTAACGCAAGCTTTCCTTCTCTTTCTTTACCTCCTCCTTGTTCTCATATATTTTATCTTCTATCTTTTCTTTTTTCTTTTATCGTTTGAGAACTATAATATAGTTCATAATCTATGAATCGATTAAATTATTATGAAGATAATAATTCATTGAACTAGATAGAGTTCTAACAAATATGACTCATAATCAACTCGATATTTGATTTAGAAGGTTACACACATACGGTAAGTATTGCGACAAATAAAGATTCGGATATAATATATATGTCGAAGCCCCTATCTTATTGCATATTCAATAAACTTATGAATTATTGAATCTTATATATAAGATCTCATTGTTGAGAAATTTGGGATAGCATCACATGCACAGTATAAGAAAAGAAAACAAAATCCCATAATTTTCAACAAAAAAAAGTTTCATTGTCGTGCGAAGATTAATGCATAAAAACTTACAAAACCAAAAATTACACAAATATCTAATAAGATAAAATTCTGATAAATATAATTCATAATCAACTCGATATTAGGCTTTGAAAGTCACATATCCGTCGAGTCGAAACTCATATCTTATTAGATATCCAATAAGTCCCTGAATTATTGAATCTTGTGGATAAAATTCAATTATTGAAAAATCTGAAGTAACATCGCATGCGCAGCGGAAGAACAGAAAATAAAATCCCAAAATTTTAAATAAAAAAATAATTTCATCGTCGTGCTGATGCACAAAAACTCAAAAATAAAAAATTACACATAAAAAAAATGTGTTACCTAAGAAGATCGTATATCCTTAAATCATATTTTTATAACATGAGAATTTAGAAGAACTTTAACACAATAATCGACCGACTTAGAAACAATTATTGACCAAACCACTATTATAATAACACAAATAATCCAATCCAAGCCACATGTTATCATCCAAAAAAACAAAACAAAAAACATGCATCAACGTGAAGCAACAAAACAAAAAACATGCATCAACGTGAAGCAACATCAATAATATCAATAATAGCATAGCATCTCAAGAGTAATGATAATAATAATATGCCTGATAGACCCAATCATACTATTGTAGGTAATGATAAATTAAGGTTCGCTATACCATGATATACTGCTCGATATGAGCGGTATATATCAATCTAATAAAAGGTCAATATGGATGGTACATATCAATTTATCAATATACCTCAGCTTACCATGTGTCGATCTATGTCGGTATCATACCAAATCGATAATCGATCGGTACATTGGTACAAACCGATAAGGCAAACCATGTGATAAATAATCATCAAGAGTTGACTACAGTAACGTTATACAACAGTATCTTGGGGATCTGGTGCAATCTACACATCGTTTGTTCACTCTAAGAAACTTAGGGAAACAGACTGCACCAGTGGATCATCATTTTCTAACGGTTACGAGCTCCCCTAAGCTGAAAATAGTTCAAACATTCGACCCATGTCCTGCTACACTGGTTCTTTAGGAGTTCTGAATCAACGTGCAACAGTATTTCCAGGCAGCAGCTAATGGGCTTCACACATTGTCCACCTCCTCCGTGGATTTCTTGTATTCTGGCTTCAACTCATGAGTTCCTTGATTAGGTCCTCTCTTATTATAGACGCAAAGATCATTTAGTATTTCTTTCAGGAATTGCTGCAAAGAGAAATTTAACAAGTCAGTGGACAAGAGCCTAACAAGTCCATAGGAAGAAGCAACTGATTCATAAAGTCATCATGAGCTTCATTGTGCTACCAAAACAGAGCAATAACTAAAGCAGTAAATACAATGTTCAAACTTCAGAGAATGGCTGGCAGCCTGAGAATATACTGTTCATACATCTGTTGGCCTGAGAATATACTTTTCACACATCTGGCAGGCCAAATATATATTCTCACAGTTCACTAAATTCCTGCACACTCTAAACTTGCATATTTTTGTTCATGGACTAATTAATATTATCGTTTATGTACTAAGGTAGCAAGATATACATATGTCCACAATGAATACAAGAAATCAAACATTTAAAAGAGTATCGATCCATTCTTTAGTAGTTTATAGGTAAAAAAGAACTTTGCCATCATTAGCGATATGAGAAGCACAAGAAGATACTGTAGCAGAATTTTATCTCAAGAATGGTTGGTCACAGTATGCTAGTCCGGTTACGACTCTTATGGAGTCAGTGAAGTTACATTCCTCCGACTAAAAGCATAATGTCTGAGTTGAAGCACAAACCTCAGGTTGATCAGTCTCTTGGACTAGTTGCTTCAGTGCCCAATTTGGTTGCCTTTCAAAGAGTTTAAAGATAATATTCTCCAATTCACGACGATCCCTACGTGTTCGTTTTGCATCAGATCCTTTTGTTGGCGTTAGTTTCTTCTTGTCCTGGTGCACAAAAACATCAAAGAAAAACAAAATATCAAGCTATGTGTAAATAGCAAACCGAACAAACTTGATATTAACAAAAAATGTGAAATATTAGTTATAATGGAATCAAGCATTGAACTTCTTGCCACAAGTAGCTTTACAGATATTGAAATGGTGGAGAAAGTAGCAAGGAATTGTAAGACACTAGGTCCTATGCACCAAGGAAATATAATTTCCACCAAGAGATAACAATGAAATGTAACATGTTACCCAACAAATGTACAAGAATATGTAATATATAATATAAAAACACTTGAAGCATGTAAGATCTGGCATAGTAACAGGTGAAGGGTACATATGTACCTTGTCCCTTTGAGTAAAAAAAAATTTACCTTCGAACCAGATGGAACCAGACCAACCATACCAGGCATGGGCCTCATGAGCACTCCGTGATCATTGTCAATTACCTTAAGCCAAAATTTATAATAAAAAAAAAAAGTTTAGCTTCAATAGCAAAGATAAAACTCAGATGAATGGAAAAAATAAACTGCATCTACCTGCACTTGTCTAGTTTTGATCATAGCTCTGTTAGTCCTTTCACGACATAATTTTCCATAATCCCCAAAATTCTCACTATGAGGCTCCATGTCAAATTTATGTTCTACCTTCCCCTCCAATGAAAATTTTCCTACATTAGCAATTGAATTTTATTTCAACATATTAGACTCCATATAGAAATGCAATAAATATTTAATGCAGAAAAATCTATTAAACGGGTACAATAACCGAAGAAGGATATGATCACTCGTACCAACATCCTAGAAAAAGGATTATTGTTTTGCCATACAAGGGCATATTTACCAGAAAGCTAAAACAGTATATCTTCATACTAGTTATTAATCAACACAATCTCAATGTCCAAAAAAGGTTTATTCACATGTACATAAACGGACATGGGAATTCTTCCAAACAAGAAACTATTACTCTACCCTCCTGACCAGTCAGCCTCACCAATGTTGGCATCAAACAGATACTTTAAAGTTTAAACCTTGATCTCAAGTATATATATGTTCATATAAAAAGAGGAAAAACATGAAAATATATGGTTTTATTGACAGTTCTACTCGTGGAATATCTTAGCCTTAAATAATGGGCCATATGTATTTTTTAATTATACACAGGAAAGAAGTATTTCATGATAAGAGGAGTGTATTGTGGATCTTCATTAGCAACTCATGTAATAAGCTCTGAAATAGAACTTAGAACTGAGGCAACAGTAAACTGAATGGTTGTGATATAGATATATTATAAACCAAAAAGTTAAAAATAGAGAAACAAAAGTGAACATTAGAAAAACAATTAAAAGTTGCAGCAGCATCCCCTTTGACACAACATGATATCTCCATCACGGTCATAGACTCAAAGGCCACCACTACTCCATAAAGAAAAGTTTTATGCTCGGATATTCTTGATTTTCTTATCTGAAAATACACAAAGAAGTATTTACATGGACCCTATACCTGCCATAGGCATATATGTATATCTAATATCTAATGGTAGAATTAATGACAGAGAACAATGTTATTCATGATAATCATACATATGAAACAGATCAGATGTTCCTCATTTTCAGCTTTGTAAATTAAAGAGGAATCTGAATATCCAGTGCCTTGAAACAAGTGACAATTTCATATCCATAAAATGTGAGACAAAAAT